CCTCCTCCTCCTGTCCTTTCCATTCCCCTCCCCTCTTCTTCTCCTTCCCTCCTCCCCCACTTCTCTTCCTCGCGTCTCTTCCTCCATTCCTTTCTCTTCCTCCTCTCCCCCTTCCTCCTCTCTTCCATCTCCACAGTCCCCTCATCTCAGCTCTCAGATCACTGTTCCCGTGCGCTCGACCATTCGCTTCGGGGAGGAGGAGATCGACTTGCAAGGGCTACCGCAGATCGTGGAGAAGGGGCAGACGAGGTAGAGGAGGAGAAGGGGAGGGAGCAGGAGGCGGGGGAGAGGATACGAGGGAGACAGAGGGGGGTGGGGATCTAGAGAGCAAGCAAGAGGAGAGTGAGAATGGAGGGAGGGAGGGAGGAGGAGGAGGAGGAGGAGGAGGAGGAGCAGCAGCAGCAGCAGCAGCATGCTCTGTATGCTCTTAGATTTTTCCCGGCAGGGCGATTGGACATGCTCTTATTCACATGCGGGAGACTCTCATGGACAGTAAGCGAACTATCAGAGAGATCCTGAAGAGGTGAGGAGGAGGAGGAGGAGGAGGAGAAGAAGAAGAAGACAGAGAGATTGAAGGAGAAGAGATGAGGGGTTGGGAGATTGGGGAGGAGCGAAGAGGGAAAGAAGGGAGGAGACAGGGAATACTAATCTTGATGATAGTCTCGATGAGAGGATGAATCGAGAAGGACTGGATGTGCTCAAAAAGGGTACAACAACCCCCTTTTGCCTCCTCCTCCTCCTTCGCCTCCACTTCTTTCTTTTTCTTCGTCCTCGTCCTCGTCCTCGTCCTCGTCCTCGTCGTTTTCTCCTCCTGTTCCTCCTCTTTTGCTCTTGCTGTTGCTGCTTCCTCCTCCTTTTCTCCTCCGCCTCCTCCTCCGCCTCCTCCTCCTTCTCTCTCCTCCCTCCTCCTTCCTTGCGTTCTCTTCCTCGTCTTGATTTCTACTTCCAGGTGACTTCATCGGAGACTTTGCGCGCCCAAGAACCTTTGAGATCGCATGTGACCTCCGCTGCTGCTCCGTCTCCTTCCTATCTCCCTCTCCTTCCTATCTCCCTCTCCTTCCTATCTCCCTCTCTTTCCTATCTCCCTCTCCTTCCTATCTCCCTCTCCTTCCTATCTCCCTCTCCTTCCTATCTCCCTCTCCTTCCTATCTCCCTCTCCTTCCTATCTCTCTCTCCTTCCTATCTCCCTCTCCTTCCTATCTCCCTCTCCTTCCTATCTCTCTCTCCCTCTCCCTGGGGGTAAGGGAGGATGAGATAGGAAGGAGAGGGAGCAGCTCAGAGATACCTTCCCCTCCTCCCTTGCCCCCATCTCTCTTTCCTCCCCCCATCATTTACGCCCTCCCGCTTCTTCCTTTTCCTTCTGATTTGGCTCAGGTGCCCTCAATCGTCTTCGATCGGTCAAGTTCAACCAGAGAAAGAGCTAAACACAGAAATAAACTAGCTCCTCCCTCCTCCCTCCTCCCTCCTCCCTCCTGCTCGCTCCTGATCCTGTTCCTCCTGCTCCTCCTTATCATTTCCTCCTTCTCAATCCTCGTCCTCGTCCTCAGCAGCAGCAGCAGCAGCAGCTTGAACTCATCTCTCCTTCTCTTTCTCCTACACAGACGGCAGGTACAGGTGAGATTTCATCGCTATGTCTACAACCAGAACTGCAACGTAAACGCGAACTTCTCCGTCTCCTCCTCTCCTCCTCCCTCCGCCACCATCGCCGTCACGACCCCGTGCTGAGCAAACTGAGTGAGAGCAGCAACACACGAGGAGGGAAGAGAGGGCGGTGGTGAAGTAACGGCAAGACCGAGGAGGAGGAGGAGGAGGAGGAGGAGGAGGAGGAGGAGGGAGGGAGGAGGGAGGAGGGTGTTGTTGTGGTAGGCGTCGTCATAGTGGTGCCATTGCAGCACCTGCGGCAGACTCCTGC